GCTCGCGGCGCCAGCCTTCCCTCCCCCGCGGCCCGGGCCTCCGCGCTGCTCGTTCCTTGGGGCTGTGGCACGGCGTTGTCAGGCCCCGCCCGGGCCGGGCAGTGGCGCTGTGACCTTAGTCCCGGGTCGCCCCAGGTCGCTGCCTGTGACGGAGGGTTGGGAAAGTGCCACAGGGCGGGGACAGCCCTGGCACTGCCCTCCCTGCCTGAGCAGCACCCGAGCGCGCAGGAGGGCAGGAGGGCCCGCTGGTCACGCTCGGCGGAGACGGGAGTCCGAGGCTGACGCTGGGCGCACAGACACTGGGTCGTTGTTCCCGGGATGAGGACGCACGGGTTTTCCCCCTTTGCGCTCCCAACCCGCCTTGGGGACCTGCGGCTTCCTTCAGTGAACCTTCTGGGTTTGTGACCCGTCTGTAACGCTGAGCAGAGGATAAAGCTTGGCCCCTGAGAGCGAGAGACCCCGGAAACAGAACCCCTTGCCGGTAGCCTTCGGGTTTACAGAAGCCCCAGCAGCTCAGATCTTGCCCGGGAAGGAGTGGCCGCCAGGGACGAGCCGGGGAGGTCAGGGCAGCCTTTCGGCCTGCTCTGTGGGGAGCTCTCTACCTGTGGATAGCGTGTTCATGGCTTTACAGTTAGCTGGTGCAGCCAGGTGTGCTGGCCCTCGCCGTAATCCCAGCACTGAGGCAGGATCACCACGAGCTTGAGACAAGCTTGGGCTACCTAGTGAGTTGCGGGACAGCCTGACCTGAACAGTGAGAGACCCGGTCTCCAAAAAAAAAAAGTTAGCCGTTTTGAGTTTTTGTTTCGTTTTGCTTTGGTTTTTGTTTTTGGTGGTTTTCTTCCCAGGAACAGCAGCGTTGTCTGTAGTTACCAGGCACCAAAGGTCAGACGCTGCTTTGCTGTGGGACCAACAGGGAATTCAGAGCGGAGGGCTGCCAGGCGTTGGGTCTCTGAACCCTGCACAGCCCAGTCGGGAGCACCTCGAGTTACTGCGGTTCCTTGTCGCAGCAGCACTATTCCACCTCTTCCTGCTTCATTCTGCACATACTTTATTCTGCCGTCCGCTCTGTCCCTGGACTCATCAGGACATCACGTTGTGTTTAGTCCTCGTGGGCCCTCGGGTTGTGGCCATTCCTCAGACTTCCCTAGTTTTCCGTGACCCTCACAGTTCTGAGCAGTACCGGGAGGGTGATATTGTAGGGTGCTTCTCTGTTGGTGTTTATTGATGTTTGTCTCATGTTTTACTGGGAACCGGGGGTTTGGGGGGAGTTGGGCCACAGTGAGGTGTCCTTCTCAGATTTGCCAGCGTTGGTACTGAGCTTGACCCCAGGCTTCTCCCCTGTGAAGTTACTTTCCCCTCCTTGCCACACAGCGCTTGTCCTCCGGGAGGAAGTCACTATGGTAGAAGTGGCTGTGAGCCTCTGAGGCCTTGGTTCGTGGTGGGAGAGGAGCCCCAGAGCAGCAGAGCGCAGTGCCGTGCCTGAAGCCTGGACGCCTGGGCTGAGGCAGGGTCCTAGGCTGAGCAGGCCTGTGGGTCGTGTGTCCCAGCCTGGGAAGGGGCTGTGGAGAGAGAAGGTGGGGGGCCCATGTGAAGGTGCCTCTGGAGAGTATGTTCTTCCTGTATTGTAGTGGGGTCTGGGCCACACATGAGTTGAAGGCCAGCCTGAACCATGTAGCGAGACCCTGTCTCAGAAGAAGAAAGATGTGTTGTAACAAGGGTATATTCAGGGGCTAGGGATTTAGCTGAGTGGCACAGCGCCTACCTGGCAAGTGGGAGGTTGTGAGTTTGATTCCCGGTACTGGAAAAAGAAATTTTAAAAAACCAAAAATAAGGGTATATTCAATCTTTGTTCCTCTCCCTGGCACCAAGCCCCAGAGCCGTTGGAGTGACAGGACTCTCTGGAGTGACAGGATTGGCTTTGTTGTTCACAGTGCACCTTGAATTCATGCCAAGGAGGGCTCTTCAGGTCCTAGATAGACTCGAGGTGGGGCCGGCTCTGCCGAGATTAGAGGTTGGAACTCTATCCCCAGCCTCCGGGAGGGGAGGGTGTGCAGAGGGCTCCAGGTGAGTGAGCCGTGCCCTGTGCCTCGGGAAGGGGCCTGGGTGCCCGGGACACAGACACGTGTGCACGCACACGCACACACACACACCCGGGCCTCTCTTGGCTGCTTACCTGTGTTGTATTAAGCTGTGATGTGGAGTAGACTCCCGTAGGTCTTTCCAGCAGATTATCAAAACTGAGGGGGTCGTGGGAGCCTCCAGATCTTAGTCAGTACAAGTGCAGGCAGTGTGGACACTGCCTGGGCACCTAGGAGCGTGCCTTCCCTTACTGGCCTACCATCCCCCAAGGCTGTCTGCTTTCTGGGGTGGCCCAGGGTGCCCAGGGCAGGAGGAAGTACCAGCCCTCTTTGGCTAGAAGAAGGGCCGGGAAAGGTTTGATGTGATCTCCAGGCTGTTTATTCAACTGTTACACTTGCTGGTAAGAATGTAGCTAAACGGACCCCTTTGATACACTGATTAAATCCTGGACCTTAACTCTGAGCTATATTGCCACCTGTTTCTTTTTTTTCCCTTTTTTTTTTTTGTTCTTTTGAAACACAGTGTCACTATGCAGTTCAGGCTGGTCTTGAGCTCACTTTGTAGCCCAGGCTGGTCTCAAACTCACAACAGTCCACCTGCCTCAGCCTCCCGAGTGCTGGGAGTGCTGGGATTACAGGTGTGCATTACCACACCCGGCTCACAATTCTTAACATAAAGATACTAGCCATAGCAGGGCAGGGTGGCACACCCCTCTAATCCCAACACTCTGAGAGGCTGAGGTAGGGGAAGAGCAAGTTCAAACCTCACTTTAGTGCAATAAAACATTTCAGAAATAGGTGGTAAAGTCGGGCATGATGGCACTCCCCTGTAATCCCAGTACTCCCAGCATTTGGGAGGCTGAGGCAGGAGGAATGTTGTGAGTTCAAGGCCAGCCTGAACTGCTTAGTGAGACCCTGTCTCAAAAAGACAAAAAAGAAAAAAGGGGGGGGGGTTGTGAATGGTGGTAACCCATCCCCCATTTACTAATCAGACTGTTTTGGTGCTGAAAGTCCATAAATGGGGGGCAGAAGTGGGAGAATTGTTCCTTGTTAATGGCATAAAGTGACACTCCACTGCCCTCACTGCCACCCCTGCTGGCCACGGTGTTGGAGCCAGATGGTACCCCTGGGTACTGCCTGCTGCCCTGCTGGCTCCTTGCCTGGCTGACTTCTGCACAGTGGCCTCTCCTGGGGATGGCACCCTGGCCCCACTGTGCCCATGCTGCCCCATCCACCCATGCAGCTGGTTGCACCACTCAGTGTTGGTGATGCCAGGAAGCTGACCCCATGCTTAGGGATGACAGTGAGTCGGGAAGGTGCCAGGAACACAGCAGCGTCCCCGAGGCGAGGCGAGTGCTCATCTCCACGCGGCTTGCACTTGGTGCTCCTCCAGCCCCCTGTCTCCCCCCCATACGCCTGCCCGCCTGGCGGTTGCCTCACCTTGCTTGTTCTGTAGGGCTGTCTGCATCAGGGGCCCTGGGTGACCTGTCTCTGCCCACCAGCGCCAACTGAAGCCTGTGGGGTGGGGTCCCACTTGGTGGCAGCCTGCACATCCCCAGCTGGGGAACCCAGTGGGCCGTCCCTGGGCTCGCCTGCCTGGCTTCCCGCTGCTTCCTGACCAGGAGGCCCTCTCTGGCCGTGTCCTGGAGCCTTCGGACAAGGGACAGGCTTCAGAAACCCCCTCCGGGGCTTCTGCAAGAGTCCCCTGCTCACCCAGACTCGAGAGCTGCCCGGCGAAGCCCCGTTGACTCACTGTGTCTTTGTTTCTGTCACAGGCAGCCTGGGGCATGGAGCGTGTCTCGGTTGTGCCAGCACCATGGGGTTGATAAGCCGAGTGTAAGTAAGCCACCCTTTGCACCTGTGCACCCTGGGCACCCTGCCCAGCCTGCCCTGGCAGCTGTCTGTCATGTGTGTCATCTGTCCTTCTCTAGGCAAGTGGGTCTGTCCAGTACTGGCTGGAGGTTGCTGCGCTTGGTGGGGTGCCTGCTGTGGCAGGAAACGGCGGGTCCTGCTTGCTTGTTCTTTGTTTCTTTTAAACCTGTGCTTCGTTATTTTGGAGGTATAATCACTGTATTAGTAAGTTAAAAAAAAATACTCCCAATTCTAGTACCAGGTACACATGTGCCTAGAGTTTTAGTGTTTTTTTCTGACCCTTCTGTGTCTTGTTTTCAGCACAGTTGTAACCACAGCCTCTGCAGTGCTGTCAGCTTAGTGGGACCAGCCTTTCCTGGTGGCAGCCTGGTCTCACCTGTGTCCCGAGGGGTTCCCCCTCTGTCCTGGCATCATCCCTTTGATGCCTTTACTCCACCCCCTTTCCTCCACTTCTTATTAGCTGTGGAGTTTACAATTTTTCATGTTCATTAAAGGCTGTGAAACTGTCTTGTCTCAGATATAAAATGTATCTGGTGGGGCTTCCTGAGACAGATTTAACTCCCTACAATAAAAACTGGAGTCACATGTGAAAACTGGTACTGAGGTGCACTTTTAGTGTCTGGCTTCACCATGTGCTGGGTGCGGAGCCAGATGTGTGTGTTTCGTGAGCAAGCAGGGGCAGTGTTTCAGGCAGGGTCGCTTCTGCACACCCGGCGTTTGCTGAGGTGGCAACAGTTGGCCAGTCTGTTGTTCAGCCCCTGGCATCTACTCCAAGCCCCTGTGCTCCAACAGTCTCCAGGCCGTCAGGAAAGCTGTGTGCCAGTGGGGGCGCTGATGTGTGCTCACCGAGCGTCTTACTTCTGCTGTCCAGGTTTCACTCAGAAGGGAATGCAGGTCTGGGCCGGTTGAGCTCCTGGGTACTGTGGAGGATGCAGGGTGTACCCCACTGAACCTTCTCCTGGGTTAAGGGTGTGGGTTAGGGGTTGGCCTGGGGAGCACTTTATCTGCATGAACCCACCCAGGGGCGGGGCTGGGCACCCTGCCCAGTCTGCCTTGGCAGCTGTCTGTCATGTGTGTCATCTGTCCTTCTCTAGGCAGGTGGGTCTGTCCACTACTGGCTCCTGCCACCCGCCGTTTGCCCTAGTTCTCTCCTAGCCCCACTTTGGGAACTAGGTTCCCACCATATTTCTGGCTTTCTCTGAATTCTTGTCTTTTTTTTTTTTTTTTTGTACAAGGAATTGAACCACTCAGGACCCCACACTTGCCAGGCAGGCACTGTGCCACTGAGCTATATCCCCAGCCCTTCCTCTGAAGTTTTGTTTTGTTTCGTTTTGAGATGGTCTCACTATGTAGTTTTTTGTTTTTTATCTTTTGTTTTTTTTTCCACTATGCAGTTTAGACTAGCCTTGAACTCACAAGTTTGAGCCCAGACTGGCCTCAAACTCACAGCAGTCCTCTTGCCTCAGCCTGCGAAGTGCTGGAATTAACAGGCATGCACCACCACACCTGGCTTTAAAGTGTTTCTGTTCAGAGTGGATGTTGTATTAGCTGAGTGCCTCTTTAGCGTTTTAGGTTTATGTTAGAACATAAAAACTGAGCTTTTATTAGTGTAGTTTTTTTGTTTTGTTTTGTCTTTTTTTGCAAATTTGCGATCTTGGATATTATAAACAGTGAGAATGGTAAAGCAGTTTTGATGAACTCATACACCTCAACACTTTTTTGGGGGGAGGTGGGACGGAGTTCTGTGGATTGAACCCAGGGCCTTCACACTGAGCTATATTCCCGGTCCTTTTTTTTTTTTTTTTTTTTGTCTTTTTTGAAACAGGGTCTCGCTATGCAGTTCAGGCTGGCCTCGAACTCACTTTGTAGCCCAGGCTGGTTTTGAACTTGCAACAGTCCTCCTGCCTCAGCCTCCCGAGTGCTGCGATTACAGGCGTGTGCTACCATGCCTGGCCTTTCTTTTTAAATTTTGAAACAGGGTCTTGTTAAGTCAGTAATTTGGTCAGGCTGGGCTCAAACTTGTGACCTTCCCGCCTCAGCCTCCCTGAGTGCTGGCAGGCGCCATTATGGCTACAGGAGCACTTATGACGAGGAGCAATAGCACTTTCTATTTTTCATTTTGGCTGCACCATGTCAGAAACTTTGAGTCACACACATAATGTTACTGCAGTTGGTAGCCATCGGTACCATATTTTAAGTTATTTCAGGGCCTCAGGTGACCTTGAAATGGCCCAGTCCCCTCACCATGGAGCGTTTTTTGATCAGATTTGTCCTAGCAGTTTTTGACCTTATTTATTGTGAAGTGAAGGCCGCAAGCAGCACCTAGTTCTGGTGGGCAGGGAGGCTGGGGTGCAGGGAGCCAGCTGGACGTCAGCGCAGCCTCCCTGTGCTGCTGCCCCAGCTAGTGTGGAGGAAGGACTGTGGCATGCATGGAACTGCTGGTCCGGGTGCTGGTCACTCAGTTTTTGCGTGTCGTCCAGCTCCTCTGCTTTTGCACTTGGTCCCTGGGAGAGTGCTGGAGCGCATGTCCAGAATCCCTTCCTGTCCCTCTAGTGGCGGTGGCTGTTGCTGTGCTGCTCCTCCTGTTGCTCCTCTTGTCACCAAGACAGTGCAGGCCCTGCATGTTGTGCTCTGATTAGTGTCCTCCTTAGCCCGGCTTGGGTCATCGGCCTGCTTGTGCCTGTCAGTGACAGGAGGTTCATGGTACCTGGGGGGCAGTGCCATCAGGAGCCTCCTGAGGTGTTTATCCCCAAGTGTGTTGACAAGCGCTGGGGGACAGGGGGCAGGAGAGCAGGCTGGAGTGTCCTCACCCTGTCCCCACACCTGCCCCCCAGGCCATGTAGCTGATGTGGCAAGGCTCCTTTGCAAGCACTGCCTACTTTTCCTGGTCATTAGGTGACAGCAGGATGTCCAGGTGGCCACAGGCGTCAGTACCCTCAAGTAAACAGATTCATAGTTGTGCCCGAGCTTCTTCATGTAGCCAGCCTGACTGCCTGGCAGGAGGGTATTTTTTGTTGCTTTGTTGCTTTTGCTAAGTGGGATTGCCCCTCATTTTGCAGGTGATGTATCCAAAAAAGGAGGAAGCCAGGCCTGGTGGCGCACACCTCTGATCCCAGCACTTTGGGGGCTGAGGCAAGAGCAGCCCAGCCTAAGCAACTAAACAGGACTGTGGCTCAAAAAATAAAAAGGGCAGGGTCTGGGGATTTAGCTCAGTGGCAAAGCGCCTGCCTGGCAAGCGCAAGGTCGTGAGTTCAGTTCCTGGTACCGGAGAAAAACCAAAAAAAAATAAAAAATTAAAAATTAAAAAAATAAAAAATAAAAAGGGCTAGGGCTGCAGCCCCATGGGAAGATGCTAGGTTCTTTTTTGTTTTGTTTTTTGTTTTTTTTGTTGTTGTTGTTGTTTTGTACCAGGGATCAAACTCAGGACCTTGTGCTTGCCAGGCAGGCGCGCTTGTGCAGCTGAGCTATACCCCCAGCCTTAAGATGCTAGGTTCAAACACCAGTAACACACACAAAAAAGGAAAAGCAGGAGGAGGTCAGGCAGCAGAGCAGTGGGCTGGCCTCCCCAGACCTGGATTCTGTCCCTGCTACAGGGTAGGACTCTACAGGAGGAATTTTGTGTTGGAGGACACTTCTAAAAAGTTGTATATATATATTTTTTAAAACAGCTAAGCCTTTTCAGTGATATTAATGACAATAAGCTCTGTGATGAAGACAGCTGAGTCTGTGGGAATGTCTGACCCTCGTTGGATAGGGTATGTTTCTCTTTCTCTGCTTGGTCTTTTTTTTTTTTTTTGGCACTGGAGAATGAATCCAGGGCCTTTGCACTGAGCGATATCCCAGCCGTTTTATTCTGAGACAGGGTCTCCCTGAGTTTTTGGTCCTCATGCCTCTCAGCCTTTGTGATTACAAGTAAGTAGCACCATGCTTGTCCACTTGGTAGTTCGTGTCTTTGTTTTGCCTGTTGACTTTGTTTCATGTCTGTTTTGCCTCTGCAACTGCTGACTGTCATTCCCTCTATGGAAGCCAGGCTCTTCCTGGCTCTTCCTGGCATGCGTGGAGTGGAAAACTGGATAAGCCAGTTTGATGGAGACAGGAGTAACCCTTGCTCCACATGCAGCAAGCACTTCCATCACCCACACTTGCAGGCGAGGCTGCGGCACATACAGAGGGCAGAGACATGGCCCAGCCTCTCTGCACAAGGGGCCCAGTGGCATGCTGCGCTTGGCGGGCTGTGTTGTGTTGTAGGTGACCTTATCCTCAGGGATCCTGGGACTTAGGAAAGGTTGGGTTTGGGGCCCCTCCCAAGCCCAGGGATTGACAGTGGACAGAGGTTGGGTAGTTGGGCAGAGCTCCAGAGAGATGGACATCCCCAGGGCATGGGCCGGCAGACGAAGGTGGTCACACAGTAACACACACAGGGCTACAACATGCACACACTGAGGACAGCACATACACGCAGAGGGGGATACACCCTAAGGGGTCACACACAGAGGGAGACACACACACCCTGAGCGGGATGCACGTGCACACACACAGGAGGACACACACATAGGAGGACACACATATCTGTGGCCCCACCATCCCTGCCCTTTTCTGCTGTCTGGTCGCTTCTACGCTGAACCTGGCCACAGGCAGAGCAGCAGAACTGGTGTGGAGTCCGTGACCTGAGTGAGCTGGTGTCCACTGTCCCATGGATCAACCTGTGGCCCTACCCACCCTCCTTCCTGACAGGACGTCTGTGTGGCATGTGTGGCAGTTGTGTGCAGCATCTTGGGTTGGGCTTAGGCTGACACACCAAGGGAGCAGGCCGGGTACACTTCCCGGTAGCTGGAAGCCATGAGTGGAGGCGCTGCACAGGCATGTGTGGCAGAGCACGGGCCCTTACGTGTGCAGCAGGTGTGGAGCAGGAGCTGTGCTTAGACACTCAGCTGGGGCACTGGAGGCCAGCATGGGCACTGCTGGAGCAGTCTCGGTGGTGGATGAGGGAAGCCGGAGGTCCCCACCCTGCAGGACAGCCTGTGTCCATCCCTTTAGCACCAGTGATGACAGGCATCCTGCTCTGCATGGGTCCCAGGAGCTCCCAATTCTGGGCTCCTGGTGGCACTGACAGGTGCTGGGGACATCAGCAGCCCTCATGGCATTTGCTACAGTGACAGTCTGTGGGGTACACAGTGGGGATGGTATAGGGGGCAGGAGGCCGAGCTATCCAGGTGGGCCCATGGAACAGCTGGACCTGGGGCCTTTGGTTCTGAGAGTCACCTATGGAGGGAGGCAACCTCAGAAATGGACAGGTGATGTATCCTGCACCCCATTTTCCCAAGCCCCCAAGGAGTGCATTACCCTCCCCATGCCAGGGTTATCTGGAGGTTGGTCATGTTCCTGACTCAGGCTTTGGCACATGCATGTGTCCATCTGCTGCTGTCTCTCTAGGGACTTTGAGCCTGGCTGGGGGTGACACAGGGCAGCCCAACTTGGCCACATGTCATTTGGGTTCCTATGGCTCAGACATCAGGAAGCAGCCGGGGTTGTATGTTGGTTGTGATGCGCTGTGGTATGTGGCTTGATGTTCCTGTTGGTGGCTGGCCCCTCATGACTGTCTCTTTTCCTTTCTCAAGGACTGTCCCCTCTGGCTGCTGTACCCCGGCCCACCCCTTGTACCTGTGCGTCAGAGCCAAGCCCTGTGGCCGCTGGACGCCAAGACCTGAGCACCTGTGTGTGGTGGCAGGAGCACCATGGACTCCCGCTGCAGCGGGTGTGGTTGTCGGGGGCCCCCAGTATCTCCCTATGCGTGGCTGGCATTCATCGCCCCCTCTTCGCGATGACTCTGTGGTAGAGAAGTCCCTCAAGTCCCTAAAGGACAAGAACAAAAAGCTGGAGGAGGGGGGCCCTGTGTATAGCCCAGCGAGCCCAGTGGTGGTGAAGAAGTCCCTGGGGCAGAGGGTGCTGGACGAGCTCAAGCACTACTACCATGGCTTCCGCCTGCTGTGGATCGACACCAAGATTGCGGCGCGCATGCTCTGGCGCATCCTGCACGGCCACACGCTGACCCGCCGGGAGCGTAGGCAGGTAATGGGGCCTCCGGAGAGCGCTGCTGGGGCTTGCTGCTTGCTTTTGTTCCTAGTCAGCAAAGCCTGTGTTTCAGTCACTTGCCTGCGCCTGGGTGACATCCGCAACACCCAGCACTTGAAGGAGGGGAGGTCTGCTCGGCTCAGTTTCTAGGAGGGTTAGTCCTAGGTTGCCGGGTCTGTGGCAAAGCAGATGGGGTGGAGAAGCAGGCAAGGAGGCTGTGGACATGGGGATACACCCTCGCAGGCCACGCCCAGCAGACTGCCGCTTCCCCAGCCCCACCTGCTGCGCCTTCAGCTCTCAGGAGCATAACGTGTGTCCACTCGCCTCCAGAGGGCACCTCTGACACAGGGCCCTTTTGAGGGGACTCTTAAATGTGACAGCCTGTAGGAACAGAACTGACTTGCCTGCTGACACTAGGGCCCCTTCCACCTCAGGCACCCACACTCTTGAGCTCCGCCCTGTGCAGTTGCTGGCCCCTGGCCTGCCCACCTGTTTCTTCTATTCCTGGGGATAGAACGCAGGGCTGTGCACATGAGGCCAGTGCCTCCCCAGAGCTGCAGCCAGCCCTCAGCTGTGTTGAGATGGCTGGCCTCAGCCTCCAGAGGAGCTGGCGCAGGCTCTTCTATCTTGTTTTTTGTTTTTTTTGACGGGTCTCACTGTGCAGTTCAGGCTGCCTTGAGCTCACTTTGTATCCCAGGCTGGTCTCGAATTTGCAACAATCCTCCTGCCTCAGCCTCCCGAGTGCTGGGATTATAGGCATGTGCTACCATGCCCAGCTTCTTCTGTCTTGTTGCTCAGGGCTTGTGTGTCCTGCCTGCAATCCGAGAGCTGGGGCTGTGGGCAGCTCCCAGATGGCATTTGCTGCACCCACTCTTGCTGTCCTCTGGCTCTGAAAAGTGTTCTCTTAAACTGGGGTGGTTATGTGGTCCTCTTAAGTTGGTGCCTGTGGTCCCAGCCACTCAGGAGGCTGAGGCAGGAAGATCGCTTGAAGACAGCAGTTACGGCCAGCCTGGGCAACACAGTGAGACCTACCTCATAAACAGAACAGACCCAAAAGGATTCTTCTGTTGTCTGTCAGGACTGCAGCTGAGAAGATGCTTTCCTTCTATTTTGTTCATTCTTTAGCTAAAGTAATCTGCTTAATGTGTCTGCTGATGTTTGCTTTTTTTATTGGCCTGTCTGTCCATCTGTCTACCTCCCGCTAGTGGTGCTAAGGGTTAAACCAGCCTGCACTGTCTACCACTGAGCTACCCTGCCACCCCAGGGCTCTCTTTGTAGTGTTTTTTTTCCCTTTAGAAGTTCTGTCTGATTTTTTAAAGCCAGTTTACTTAGTCTTTCTTAGTAGGGTCTTGTCCCTGTTTTGAGTGTTTCATTCCCCCTCTTGCGTCTTCAGCCCCGTATACTGACTTCCTGCTGCGTGCAGGGCTCCTGTCCTGGCGCCTGCTCTGCAGTGGCCCTCGCCCAGTGAGTGGCATGCTGATGTCTCAGGCTGAGTTCATCTCCCAGGGCTTTTCATCTCCAGGATACTGGGTGTTGGGTGCTGAGCCAGCTTTTGCTATGTTGGTCCTTGTGGGTGCTGTGGGATCCCGAGGGCGTCAGAGGGCTGTCCTGGGAGAGCCTGAGCCCCCGCCTCCTGCGTGTGGCCTCTTCTGTCCCTTCTGTGCCTCCTGCTTTCCCTCCTTCCCAGGAGCACCTCCTCGTTCCTGGCTCCTGGGGGCTTCCATTACTTTTGTGTGAGCATGTGTGTGTGCACACTTACTTCTTTATCACCATTTCATTGTAGTATTGGGGATTGAAGCCAGGGATACTCTGTCATAAGCTACATTCCCAACCCTTTTTATTTTATATTTTAAGACAGACTTTTTCTTTTTCTTTTTTTTTTTTTTTTTTTTTGCCTTTTTTGAAAGAGGGTCTCAGTATGCAGTTCAGGCTGGCCCTGAGCTTACTTTGTAGCCCAGACTGATCTGGAACTTGCAAGGATCCTCCTGACTCTGCCTCCTGGGTGCTGGGATTACAGGTGTGTACCACCACACCCAGCCCAAGACAGACTTTATTCAGGCATGGTAGTACATACCTGTGATGCCAGCACTCAGGAGGCTGAGGCAGGAGGATCACCTCAAGTTCAAGGCCAGTCTGGACTGGGTAGTGAGACTCTGTCTCAAAAAACCAAAAAAAGTCTTACTAAGTTGCCCATACTGGCTTTGAACTTGTGATTCTCCTGCCTCAGCCTCCCAGGTAGTATGCCACCATGACCAGATTTAAGTAAGCTTTTCACTGTGGAATAATTTTAGGTTTATAGCAATCTGAAACGTGCTAGATAAATGGAGAAGGGCTAAGGTAGAGCTCCCCACTGCTAGGAGGGATTGCATGAGAGCCAAGGGCCCCTCTGCGCTCCTTGCCCCCCTTGCTGCTTTTCTACTACAGGAAGTGAGACTTCAAGGAGAAAGGGGACTCAGAGCAGCTACGCGAGACTATGCAGGTGCCAGCAGGGACACAGGCAGGGGTCCCAGGGTCAGTGCTGAGAGGGGCTTGTGGGGCCTGGCTGGCTTCTCCTTGGTTTGAGGTCTCAGAGGTAATTTGGATTGAGCAAAGGCTGATTCGTCCTGGTGGTTGTAGGAATTGACTCTTTCATGGTCCAGGGAGTCAAACCCAAGGCGTTTGTGCTAAACTATGTCCCAACCCTTTTTTTATATGTTTCTGAGAGAGGGCCAGGGATTTAGCTCAATGGCGTAGTATCCGCCCCTACTAGGCAAGCATGAGGTCCTGAATTCAATTCCTATTACCCAAAAATAAAAAATGTTTCTGAGGTAGAGTCTCACTGTGTTGCTCTTCACTAAAAAGAGCCTTTTATTAAGATATTCACAACAAAGCAAAGGAAACCAGGTGAGTCCTTAGGAAAGCTGTGTAAGTGTGGTCTGAGTGGGAGGTGCATATGCAGCCTTGTGTGAGTCTGTGGGGTGCACTGAGCAGAGGTGGCGGGGGCCTTGGGCTGCGTGGGGGCTGTAGTCAGGGTGCTGGGCTCTGTCTCATGACCGCTGGGACCTTGCTGTCCAGCCCTGGCAGTGCCACCTCTGATCTGCCAATTTGCAACTTCTCCCAACTGCACAAGATCTGTCCTGTTTCCGGACAAGTCTGGTCAGCATGATGTCCTTTGGCCCTCCTGTGCTGCAGGGGTGCAGGATGTTGGGGTGCTGGGGATTAGATGTGAGACCTGCACACCCAGCCCCTGTATTTTGAGATTGTCTCGCTGCATTGCTTATTTGTCCTGCCCAGGCTGGGCTGGAACTTGGGATCCTCCTACCTCAGCCTCCCAGAGTGCTGGGGTCACAGTGTGCCACTTTGCCCGATGGCACTGAATTAGAGCTTGGGTCACCACACAGCTGTGCTGTAAGCAATGACAGCAGTGCTCCCCAGCCCTCCCTGATGGAGCCCGCCTGTCTCCAGTTCCTCCGCATCTGTGCCGATCTCTTCCGCCTGGTGCCCTTCCTGGTCTTCGTGGTGGTGCCCTTCATGGAGTTCCTGCTGCCCGTGGCAGTGAAGCTCTTCCCCAACATGCTACCGTCCACGTTTGAGACACAGTCCATCAAGGTGAGGGCATCTGAACAAGCCTCTGCTCCTCGCTGTGTGGCATCGGCAGGGGTGCAGTTGTTGGGGGAGATAATTGTGAGGCCCCAGGCAAGTTGAGCAGTTGTGTCAGACCGCAGCTTCCCCATCTGTCCCCTGTGAGATAGGCTTACCAGCCCTTGCTGTAGTCACACAAGTATTATTATCATCATTATTATTTTGCTGTTGTTTTTGTTTCTTTGAGACAGCATCTCACTATGCAGTTCAGGCTGTCCTCAAACTCAGCGGTCCTCCTGCCTCAGCCTCCTGAGTGTTGGGATTACAGGTGTGTGCCACCACTCCCAGTACACAAGTGGTATATTATTAAAAGCCGTGAGAGAGCTGGGTGTGGTGGTGCAGGCCTATAATCTCAGCACTCTGGGAGGCTGAAGCAGTAGGATTGCAAGTTGGATCCCAGCCTAGGCAACTTAGTGAGACCCTGTCTGAAAATAAAGAGTAACAAAAGGTCTGAGGATATAGCTTAGTACAAAGGTCCTAGGCTTAATTCTTGTTACTGTTAGAAAGAGAAAAAGAAAGTCAGGGAGAGAGAGAGAGAGAAAGGAAGGGAGGGAGGGAAGAAGGAAGGAAAGAAGGAAGGAAGGAAGGAGGGAAGGGAGGGAGCGAGCAGGCCTAGCACGGAGGAGGTTTTCAGAAAGCGCTGCTCTTAGATGCGAGCAGCCTTGCTCCGCACCCTGCCTGTGCGTATGGGTGAACACGGCCCTCCCCTTTGCAGGAAGAAAGGCTGAAGAAGGAGCTTCGGGTCAAGCTGGAGCTGGCCAAGTTTCTCCAGGACACCATCGAGGAGATGGCCCTGAAGAACAAGGCGGCCAAGGGCAGCGCCACCCAGGACTTCTCAGCGTTCTTCCAGAAGGTGTGGCGGGGCTCTGATCAGGCTGGGCCCCCGTGGCTGGGCCTTGTCAGGTTCTGCCTTTCTCTCTTAGTCTCCTGGGCAGCACTCAGCAGAAGGGCTCCTGGAACAGCTCGAGCTGGCTGCCCATGCCCTGTGCTCAGCCCCAGGAGGGAGCTGCAGGTGGACACAGCTGTGCTCCCCCCCAGCTGAGCCAGTCCAGTGCCCAGGACATGGCATTGCCCCACATGGTGGGGAGGGAGAGCGCAGGGCCTGGAGGGGGTGCAGCTGGGCCAGAAGCAAGGCTGGAGAACCCATCCGCTGACCACCGTATGCCGGCCCTGGGCTGCTCCTGCAGATCCGCGAGACAGGGGAAAGGCCCAGCAACGAGGAAATCATGCGCTTCTCCAAGCTATTCGAGGATGAGCTGACCCTGGACAACCTCACGCGACCGCAGCTGGTGGCACTGTGCAAGCTGCTGGAGCTGCAGTCCATTGGCACCAACAACTTCCTGCGCTTCCAACTCACCATGCGGCTGCGGTCCATAAAGGCTGATGACAAGGTCAGCTGTGGCCACACGCGGTGCCTGTTGCCTGCTCCTTTACTTCATTCTTTCCTACCATGTAACTTATGACTGGTGCATGAAGCCATAAAAATCACCCATGTACAGGGCCCACAAGGTGTGCCAGTGCATGTACTCACTGGCTGCTACTCTGTTGTTTGCTTGGCAGAGTACATTAGGAAAGGGCTTCTGATTTGAAACTTAGTTTCTGGTATAGTCAGATCAGCACATCCACTTCTTTCTTTTTTCTTTCTTTTTTTTTTTTTGTCTTTCTGAGACAGGATTTCACTATGCAATTCAGGTTGGTCTTGAACTCACTTTGTAGCCCAGGCTGGCCTTAAACTCTTGGCAGTCCTCCTGCCTCGGCCTTCCTATAGGAATGCACCACCACACCCAGCTCCTAGCACACCCACTTCTGCTGGCCTTGCCAAATGTAACTGGCTCCTTCCTTTCCAGTTGATTGCTGAGGAAGGGGTGGACAGCCTGAATGTCAAGGAGCTGCAGGCCGCATGCCGGGCGCGGGGCATGCGGGCCCTTGGCGTCACCGAGGACCGGCTGCGGAGCCAGCTGAGGCAGGTGTGTGGCCCCACCCCCGTCCCCAGGCTGATGCTGGCACATGTGGGGAATACCCGCAGGGCCAGCTGTGTTGCTGTATGGTGAGTGCTCGCCCAGCACACGGGAGGCCCTCGGTTCCATCCCCAGCACCGCCAAAGATAGGAAAAGAAAGAAGCAGCAGCAAAGACTCATGGGAGTTTGGCAAAAGCTCCAGACTGGCACATAGGGTGGTGAAGACCCGGGACTGGCAGGGACACCTGGGACATTTTAGGGCTTTCTCTTAACCCACCCTAAAGCACACTGGCATGCAGTGTGCGTGTTCTCCCCTTGCTAGTGTTTTTGCTGTGGTTGTCCTGAACGCTCGTCTCTGGTCACCTGTGGGCAGGTGAGGGTGTGTCCACTCCTGCCTTGGCAGTGTCTGTGGATGGACTGGGAAGGCCTGGGCACCAGGACAGCCATCCTTGGGAGCCCGCTTCCGCTCTGCTGCCTAGCACAGTGCCTCTGAGCAGGTGCCTGGGAACTGGCTCCTGCCTGCCAGTTTTCCCTACATCCTCTGGGTGTAGACGAGGACGTGTAATCCACTTCTTCCTGATGCAGCTGCATTTCTGTGTGGAGCCTTTGCACCCTTGTCTTCCTCAGGCTGTATCTTCAGCAGCCCCTGGGAGGGCCTGCCCTGTGTCCATCCTGCCGTCCCTGTGCACCCGGCCATCTGCAAGCCCAGCTCCACAGAGCCCCCTGAGCAGGAGCCGTGATGTACCCTGCCAGGCCGCGTGGCCTGTGGGGCTGCAGTAGAGTGGGGAGTGCAGACCAACCCGTCCACATTTCCCTGTCTGACTCCTTGGCTCCATGTTTTCATCCCGTTCTGAAACTTTTTTTTTTGCCCGGTGTTCAGTTCATGTCCAAACATGGTCAGTGTTTTTGAGGTTGAAAATTGTCTTGGTGTCACTAAAGCAGCCCGGCACGGCACCTGGCCTGGGGCAGAGTGTGGAGCGTTGGTGAAGGGAGGGTGTACTGCCGTCTCTTGGGTCTGTGGCAGCTGGGCTCCAGGGGCTAAAGGCCCAGTATACCATGGTGCTCATCAGTCCTGAGTCCTCAGATCAGTCCTGAGCCGGGGGAAACACCTCTGGGGGAATCCATCTACTAGGTCCCGCTTAGCTGATTGCTACCAGACTCCTTCAGCAAACCAGGGCCAGAGCAGAGGCTCTGGGCTGAGGGCACTGGGCCCCGGTGGGTGGCCAGTGGGTCAGGTGGCAAGCAGCATGTTGTGAGCCTGTCTTTGGTTGTAGTGGTTGGACCTGCACCTGCATCAGGAGGTGCCCACATCGCTGCTTGTGCTGTCTCGGGCCATGTACCTCCCTGACACGCTCTCACCCGCTGACCAGCTCAAGTCCACACTGCAGACCCTCCCAGAGATTGTGGTATGTGTTGTTGGGGGAGCCTTCAACTGCCCACTTTGGGAGCTGGGGACTGGCGTGCCGTCCTTCCTGCAGCACTGCACCGTGTTCCTGCCAGCTGCCCACAGTGGCACAGTCTCTGGCGCACTGGCAGCCCTTGCCCTGGGTGTGTAGCCCAAGGCGGCAGGTTTGCACCTGCATTCACAGTGTCCCAAGACTGCTCTGTCCCTGTGTAAAGCAGGTGGTAATGCGGGGGCAGCGGCTTTGGGCTCACTCCCAGGCGCCCTCTGCAGGCCAAGGAGGCCCAGGTGAAAGTGGCTGAGGTGGAAGGCGAGCAGGTGGACAACAAGGCGAAGCTGGAGGCCACGCTGCAGGAGGAGGCCGCCATCCGGCAGGAGCACCGCGAGAAGGAGCTGCAGCGGGCCGCAGAGGCAGCGGTGAGCAGCGCCATGGTCATCGCTCTGGGGAGTTTGCGTCCATATGTGGGAACTGTGGTTCTGTCCTTTTGTCTTCAGGAGTAGTTGGGGTGGCAGTAGAAGCAGGAGAGCCTGGGTGGGGGACACAGGTCGGCCACCTCCCTGTGTCCAGGACAAGAGGGCCAGCTCGCCACCCAAGCAGGGGTCACTGCAGCACCTACCTTCTCCTTAGGGCCTCACCTCTGCTCCCCAGGGGAGGCTGCCGGGAGCTTGCAGTGCCCAAGGCTGGGGCCTCCAGTTCTTCCCATGCCCACCTGCTGCCCCAGTCTCTGCTCTGCAAGGTCTCAAGGGAAGACCAGAGACAGGCGAGCCCTCTGCTGCGCTGTTGGTCAGGGCTTTGGGTGGCTGTGCAACCTCTGTGCGTACAGGTCCCCGCCATCACTGAGTGGGCCTCCTGAGCATGTGGTGGGTGATGTGTGGCACCCAGCAAGGCTGCTGGCATGATTGCACTGCTTCTTGCCTTTCAGAAGGTCACTGAGCCAGAAGGTGTGGGTGCCACCACCCCTGGAAAGCCCATGGCTGAGCTGCAGCCAGAGGGGCCTGACGTGATCCTACCCTCTGAAGTCCTTAAGGACACTGCCCCTGTGCTGGAGGGCTTGAAGGTCAGTGACACTCAGCCCAGGGGAGGGCTGGAGCGGGTTGGTGAGAATAGGCTTGTAGCCCATGAGAGGAAGTGGGAGCAGGGAGCAGGAGTGAGACCTTGGAGTGCAAGTGAAACTCCAAACAGCAGGGGCATCCCTACTCTGTCGCCTGCCCCAAGGGGGAGGGCTCGGGGCCCTAGAAGAACCAGGCAGAAGCTCATGGGGAGGAGGGACCCTCATCAATGAGGGCAGCCAGCTGGACTCAAGAGATAAGTAGGGTCTGTTTCCTACCGATTAAAGATGTAGCTGAGGAGGGAGGTTTAGAACTGAGGCCTGATTGTCACCAAGATGTCTTAGAGCACAAACCTTTAAAGAGCTGAAAAACAAAGCCTCCAGGTCCCATGGACCAGTGCAGACCTGCAGTTCCCTCATGGACGGCACTGCACGCAAGGCTGGGACCCGAGCAGTTCTATGCTGGTGAGGATGGAAATGTGCAGCCAAAACCTTCCCCCGAGGGAGCCCCAGCCCAGATGCCACCCAGGGCCATGGGTGCATCCAGCTCTAGAGCACAGATGATTGGGGTGAGGAGCCGAGCTCTTGGCAGGAGAGGAAGCAGATATTCTAGTGTGGGCCACAATGCAGGCATCGCCTGATGTCAACTCCTGCACACTCACTTGTGTGTGTGCGCGCGCGCACGCACACACACACACACACACACACACACACACACACACACACACACGAGCATTCTCAACAAACTAGTAGATCAGGTGCACAGTCCCTGAAAAGCACTGTGGCCAATGTGATCTGTCCCTGGAATTCAAGCTGGTTAGCGTTATAATAGACAGTCTCAAGGTGCCATGTTAATAAACTGAGAAGAGAGACCCCATCACCCGCGATGCCTGGAGTCCCTATGACAACCCAGAGGCAGAGTGTGCAAAGGCGCCTCAGCACCTGCTGCAGCACCCACTTGGCGTGGCCCTGAGGCGGCACTCCCCACAATGCTTCCGCTGCGGTCAGAATCCTTGTTCACAAAGGATGTGACTGGAGCCGACTGTGCTTCTCCATGCCGCTGAGAGCTGTCATGTACAGTGGCATACTCAGGATAAATTTGAGAAGTGTGTCGGTCAGGCTTTCTGCTGCTGAACACAGTACCTGACGCCTGCAGCTTAAAGGAGAAGCCCTTTGATTTGGCTCACGGTCTTGGTGGATTCAGTCTGTGGCCTGCTGGCACCAAGGCAGGACCGTCACAGTGGAGCAAGCTGCATGTTTGTGACAGCTAGGAAGCAGAGCAGGGGAGCAGTGCCAGAGAGGGAGGGGCCAGACACAGACCCCAAGACCACTCCTCCATGACCCACCCAGACACCAGAAGTGTGTTCCACTAGCCCCGGGAAGACCCTAAAGCTGGTCCGAGTGGACACCTACCCTAACCACTGCAGGGTTTAAGAGGTATGGCCTGAAAGTGACCATGCTGTGAGGTCAACTAGAAAAGTGGGTGGTGAGATGGGCTGCAGTCCTGCACTGAAGATTCAGTGTAGCTGCCATGTTAATTCTCAAGTTATCCTATATGTATTTGTTTGGTTTTGGGAGGTACCGGAAATTGAACTCAAGCCCTTTGGACTGAGCCACAGTCCCAGGCTTTTTAAAATTTTCTGGGTTTTTTGTTGTTGTTTTGTCTTTTTTTTTAAGGCAGGATCTCGCTGTGCAGTTCAGGCTGGCCTTGAGCTCACTTTGTAGCCCAGGCTGGTCTCCAACTCACAGCGATCCTCCTGCCTCAACCTCCCAAGTGCTGGAATTATAGGCATGCACCACCATGCCCGACTAAAATTTTCTGTTCTAAGACAATGTTTTGCTAAGTTGCCCAGACTGGGCTTCCATCTGGGATCCTCCTGCCTTGGCCTCCCAGAGTGTTGGGATGAACGACGTGAGGCACCAGCCCCACCTTGAGCTGATCTACAGATTCCTTCAGACCACCAAAACTTGAGAAGGTTTTGTTTTGTTATTGTTGAAATTGACAAACTTACTCTAAAATTTATGTGGAAATGTAGAGCATGTGAGATAGCCAAGACTACTCCTAAGAAATGACAAAAATGAATTTTTATCGAGCTGCAGTTACTGAGGTGTGTGATCAGGCTGGGATGATACTGCTGTAAAACAGGCAAGTAGATCTAGTAAATCAGAGAGAGGGAACAGAAATAAGTACACAAACAGGAAGGAGGTTTCTGCTAAGGTAATGAGACAGCCTAGCAGGGAAAGCATGGTCTTGTCCTGAGTGTGTGGGATAGTTGGGGGACCATGTGTCAGAAAGTGAACCCTGACCTCTTTATAACTCACAATGTATGAAGATTAACTCAGAAGGCATCATAAAAATGCCTAGGAGAAATCATAAGAGAAAATGCTAGTGACCTGGGCTTGTCACTAATTACAGCACAAAAACGTAACCCATAAAACTGGAAAAAAAGTGTGTGTGTGTATGATATGTTCCTTTATCAAATGTTGAAAACTTTTGCTTCCAGAAACACTTAGGAAAATGAAAATAAGGCCAGGCATGGTGGCACACACCTGTAATCCCAGCACTTGGAAGGCTGAGGCAGGAGGATCATCTTGAGTTCAAGACCAGCCTGAGCTACAAAGTTAGTTCAAGGCCAGCCTGAACTGCATAGCGAGACCCTGTCTCAAAAAGACAAAAAGAAAAAAAGAAAAAAAAAGAAAATAAGCTGCAGGCAAGGAGGAAGTGTTTGTAAACCATGAACCGGCGTCTGGGATACATACAGAAGTACAGCTTCATAAATAGGAAGACTGTGGTTTTAAAAATGGGCTGGTGGTGATTTATGCCTGTAATCCCAGCACCCAGGAGGTTGAGGCAGGAGGATTGCCGCAGATTCGAGGCCAGCCTGGGCTACATAGTGAGACCCTATCTTACCAGCTTAATATTATTACTTTGTTATTGTGGACTGATCAGGCCTGAATCTCCCAAATGAGTGGAGGCAAAGGCTAAATAAAAGAGACAAATGGTATAATTTCAGGGCTCCAGGAGGATCAAAACCCTCTCACAGAATTTGAGATTCTGTCAGGGCTAAGATAAAGATCTGTGGGTAGCTGTAATTAGTTATAAGAAACAAGGTGGAGAATACTAAAGAAAGGTGGGACTCTGCCTTGAATGAGGTGCTCAAGGACTTGGGAAGTCTACTTGAGGACTTCTCCAAGACCTTACGTTAATTTAGGAGAGCTCTGTTACTCCAGAAGGTCTCCACCCAGGAGCGAGATGCCTGCAGCTGCAGTCTTTATCAAGTTAATTGAGGTTGGAGCCAGGTGTCCTTAGCTGTGGCCTTGTCTTGTCCTTTGCTTCACCAGCCTCTACAGACCTCCATCAGCTTTGGTGGTATAGTGGTGAGCATAGCTGCCTTCCAGACCACAGTCAATCGGGACCAGTGACTGACAGAGGCTCACTTACGATGAGTCCACTGCCCCTCTCCAAACAAGGGGCCTGGGCCTTGGTTAACTCACAAGTAAACATGGAAAGCCAGTTGGTTAATATTAAATTCTGCTCAGAGCCGCTTCATAGTGGTCTCCATCACTGTCTCAAAAAAAAGACAAGAAGGGCTGGGGATATAGCTCAGTGGCATAAGTGCCTGCCTGGCAAGCACAAGGTCGTGAGTTTGATCCCGGTACCGCAAAAAAAAAAAAAACAAACAAACAAGAAATGGGCAGAGAAGGGGCTGGGGATTTAGCCCAGGGGCATAAGTGCCTGCCTGGCAAGCACAAGGTCGTGAGTTTGATCCCGGTACCGCAAAAAAAAAAAAAACAAACAAACAAGAAATGGGCAGAGAAGGGGCTGGGGATTTAGCCCAGGGGCATAAGTGCCTGCCTGGCAAGCGCAAGGTTGTGAGTTTGATTCCCGGTACCGGAAAAAAAAACAACAAAAAAAAGAAATGGGCAGAGAAGATGTGCGGATATCGAGTGAGAACTAAAATGCTCCCCACATCATTCCCAGTGAAGCGGGGTTCAGAGCACAGGGAGGTGCTGCCACAGGCTGTCAGGGTGACTAGCGCTTGACACTCACCCTGGGCTGGGCTGACTGTAGAGCACTTGTCTAACAGATGAGGCTCTGGCTCTTCCTGCCGCAGGGAAGAAGCCTTAGGCTGGGACGCTCACTCGGGGAGCACTCTTGCCTGGTGCAAGTGCTGGGTCTGGCCCCTAGTCCCATTGGGAAGAAAGTGGGAGCAGCTCAGACAAGCACTGGTGAGGAGTGGAGGGAAGCCACTGGGGCAGTTCCCTGAAAGCCTGGGCTGAGGCCAATGTGCTTCCCTGGGGCTGGGAGCAGTTGTTCCCAGCAGCTTGCCTGATAATCACTGAGAACAGGGAACCAGGCACAGCCCACTGAAAGGCCCGCGGCCAGCCAAGTGCTGATGGAGCTCCTCTACAGTACAAGGCCCGCCTCGCACTGAGGCTCGACTCAGTGACAGGGCTGGGGCGGCAGAGGACATGCTGGGATTCCTTGCGCCTCGATTCTGGAGCCCAAGTTAGCTGCCTGAGGCGCAGCTGGTAGATTCTAGGCGCAGTGGGGCAGGTAGTTCATGGTTCCGGCTGTGGTGTGGGTCCCAGCCCACCCGAAGACACGCTTGGACATGGGTGCTCAGTGTGTAGGGCTGCTGGAAAAAGTGAAGGTGGACTTGGGCTCTGCCTCCCTTGAGACTCTGTCCTCAGCACGGACAGAGAGCTGTGAGTGCTCAGGAAAGCAGCTGGTGGGTGGTTCCCTTTGGCTTAGGCTTGTTTCTGTCCCCTCAGGAGGAAGAAATAACTAAGGAAGAAATCGACGTCCTGAGCGATGCCTGTTCCAAGCTGAAGGAGCAGAAGAAGTCGCTGACCAAGGAGAAGGAAGAGCTTGAGCTGCTGAAGGAGGACGTCCAGGACTACAGCGAGGTGGGCACGGCTCTCCTTCGAGGCTGATGATCTTTGGGGGGTACAGGCACCCCACGGGGTCGGGTAGTGCTCACATCGAGCGTACAGCGCCAGGCTGTGGGGAGAGCAGTGGTGCTGAGCTCATTCCAGAGCCCCCACAGCCACGCAGCTGCACTCCCTGTACTCCACGAGTGACCTTGCAGGCACCGTGGTGTCTGAGCGCACCACGCGGCTCTGGACTCCAGCCCTTGGTGAGAGCTGCTTGTTCCTGGCTTGCGAGGAGAGCCATTTCACTGGTTTTTGTACATGGTTTTTGTTTTTGCCTTTGTTATTTTTCATTTGTGGTCTTGGGGATTGAACCCGGGTCACATATATACTACGTCAGCCTCTACCACTGAGCCCCCTTTTTCTACTCCTTTAGGCCCCCCTTTTCTCTTTTTGATAAATACTACTTTCCAGCCTGTTGAAAAGAACTGTTTTTGTGGTTTTGTCGGGCAGGGTGGTGAGTTCTGAGACTGGGAGAGACATGTTGCCCTCGCTAAGCTGGTCGCTTACGGCCGCGGCCAGGTGGCAGCTCGTCCTCCTCGCTGCCCACCCGTCCTTCCCTGTGGTGTTTGCTCCCCACCAGAGTGACCTGGAGCTGAGGAGAAGAACACTCTGGATCTCGGGGTTCTTCATTTGTTCATTAAGCAAATGGGGGAACGCTGACTTTCAGGATAGGTTCTGTTTTCTCTGCTACAAAAGCAGCAGCGTTTGAGTTCACAATAGTAAGAGCATATTTGTACAACAGAAATAGGATTTTGCCCCTTTCTGTGCTTAGAATTAATGGCTCTGTGTTTTGCTTTGTTTTGCCTGCTGGGGATGGAACCCAGGGCCTCATGCAAGCTGAGCAAGGGTTCTGCTACTGAGCTACGAATCTGCCCAAGCGTGCTGAATTAGTTTTTCAAATTAAATTAAGGTAGAGCCCTCCCCTACTCAAGGCAGACTTTCTTAGCAACTGCAGATAATTTCACTAGGACTTGCAGGAGATCAAGAAGGAGCTTTCCAAGACTGGTGAGGAGAAGCTTGTAGAGGAGTCGAAAGCCAGCAAGCGGCTGACGAAGCGGGTGCAGCAGATGATCGGCCAGATCGATGGGCTGATCGCGCAGCTTGAGGCAGGCCAGCAGGCTGGCAGGCTGGGCCCAGCCGAGGGCTCGCCTGCAGGGTGAGTGGACAGCCGGGATCCAAGCTCAGGCTTTCCTGACTCCCAGGTGTAGCCCTAGGCGTCTGTGCCTGGCACCCCCAAGGCGGTCCAGCCGGAGTCCTGGGGCGTCTGTGCCTGTGGTTTCCTTTCCTTTCCACCGGGACTGCTTCCTGTCTCCCCCCCTGCCCTTCCCCAGTGCCCTGCCCCCAGCTCCTTTGGCTCCCGTTTTCTCTAGCTGCCACCCTCTTGCCAGCCTCTTCCTGCTGCTCTCCACCCTGGCCCACGCAGGGCGTGTCCCTCCTCGGTGGGCTGTGTGTCCCCCTTGCTGTGGGGGTTGCTGCCTTTGAGTAAGAGAGAGCCTGCTGGGCGGATAGCCTGACAGCCCCAGGCTGTGGTAGGCAGCTGGCATCAGGCCCCGCCCCTACCCAGGCCCTGCACTTGGGGGGCACACACAAGCAGAGACCTCTGTTTCCATGGTACCATACTGCACAACCACCCAGAGGAGAGGCCGTGGGGATTCTTGGCAGGGCTGGGGCCCATGGTAGGGACCCATGCTGAAGGCTGCCAAGTTCACGTGGCTGCCAGGGTCAGGGTGACAGGTAGGAGCTGTAGGTGTGGTGTGGAAGTCCACATGCAGGCTGTATCTCCAGGGAGAACGTCGTCAGTGTCGCGGAGCTCATTAGTGCCATGAAACAAGTCAAGCACATTCCTGAAAACAAGCTGGTCAGCTTGGCCTCTGCACTGGATGAAAATAAGGATGGCAAGATCAATATCGACGACCTTGTCAAGGTGGGTCATGGAGGCCTGAGTTGGCTGTGCTGCCCTCCTGGTCACAGGGAGCTTTGTGGCCCCTGTCGGGTCAGTAGCTTTGAGCATCCTCCAGGCCTGTACTTTCCTCCAAAGCCATGCAGGAAGGAAGAAGTCATCAACATGCTGGTGTGGGAGCAAGCTGAGCCCTTTACAGCCTGCTTTTCTCTCTGCTCCCTGAGCTGTCTTGGCCTCAAGGCCCCAGGGTCACACCTATGGCCAGCGTCCCTATGCTTTGTCTCCCTCTCTCTCTCGCTCTCTCTCTCTCTCTCTCTCTCTCTCTCTCTCTC